TATAGTAGAGGGTGATAGCCTGACAGCTAAGTGTAAGAGTGAAGGAGCAAAGTCTACGTCCAAAGCAGATTCCAAAAACCTCAACAGAGGTTAGGAAGCTAGAAAATAAATCAGAAATTATGCTATACTCCATAGAAATGGGCCACAAAATTGATTTTCACGTAATCAAAGTTCTATGCAGAGGCTTTTGGTCATACCAAAAAACAAAACTGACAGCCGAGATTCCACCTTTATGAGAAAATCAAGATAGCTTGAATAGACGAAGTGGAGTACATTTAGCTGCCTCTGTAAAATAACAACACACCTAAAGAGTTAGAAATATATGATTTCTCGCTGAATGATTGGTAATCATATTTTGGAAAAAGTAGTGACTAAACGAAGAGGATTGGACAAGGAGATTAAGTATAGATCACTGCTTTGCTGATGATTTTACCACAAAACCATACTTCCACCCGACAATAATTCAATATTTTTGACTCCCTGAGATAGCCATGGTTCGGCAGACTAGTATTTATACTAGGTGATGATTGAAGGTGAAATGAAAATTCTAACCAGCGACAACTGCATTTCCTGCCGAATGGTTTACCAACTGAGCTACGAGGTTCGACTGCTAACCAGATGTTCATTTCATTTCATCCATACCCTCTGATTAACAGTCGGACATCGTAGCTCAGTTACTGAGGCACTGGGAAGGAAACTCTGTGATCGCTGGCTCTAATCCTGCCGCGGTCTAAATTTTCACTTCATCTTCAATTACTATCCAGTATAAATACTAGTCCAACAGCAACAACAACAATAAGCTCCAATCAACATCAACAGGAGAAACTTTAAGGAAGTAACCCCTTTCACCTATCTACGCAGCACTGTTTCAACTAACAGGTGGCACAGGCACAGACGACGACGTCAAAGCAGCCAGGATCCAAAAGACAACAAGACTGGCCTTCATTTAACTGAAACCAGTGTCGAGATCTTCTGCACTGCACTCAGCATGAAGTGTGAGCAACATACGGATTCTCAACACCAAGTCAGTCAAGTCACTGCTGCTATCTCATGGTTCACACACTTGACGCGTCACAAAAGGCATTTCCAACAAACTACAGACATTCATCAACAACTGCCACCTACGCTCACTCGCTACTGACACTGAAGCTCAGATGGCCAGAATAATAAGAATGAGGAAGGGGGAACTGTGGCTGACTGGTGGCGAAGTAACCGAGAAGCTATCACTGAAGAAATATGCACTGGAAGGGAGTGGGAGTTGAGGTGGATTGGTCGTCGAGTGAGAGGATGGACTGGGGACATGAGGCGTCAGGCGAGATGCTCGAGTGGAACCCAGATGGGAAACGATGAGTTTGGCGTTTGAGGTGATTGTGAGATGGAGGAGGTAGTGTTAGGAATAAATGAGAGGTTGTGGGCTGTTGTGGAGTGAGGTTGAGAAGATTTCAGAGAAGAGAATGTAATGGAGGCGTGCTGCTGACGCGGTATGTTCCATTAGTAACCGGAGGGACAAATAATAATAACATCTTTGAGATTTTAACGTCTGATATATTTAGAATATGTTGGAAAGAGGCTTGTTTATCTTTCGAAGCATAATTCAGAACTGAAACTTAGGCATTATGGTAAATACTAAATCCATAAGGAGTTGTTTAATGGATACATCACATAGGGAAACAGTCATCTTTGTATAACCACTATCTGACACAATTTATCGTCTATAGACAGATAGACAAAGTCAATGTTGAAACACCTTGCATATAAGTGTTTTGGTCTAAGTTGACACACTTCATAGAAGTATATAAACAGTAGGAGGATATAAAAAGTATGAAATCCTGGTAGACAAAGTTGTTGAAGAGAAGGAATAATTTAAAGGTAAGGGTTAGTTGAAATATTCGAGCACTGGAAGACATCAATGAGTGGATAAATCTGCACCATTATGGCCGATTTTCAGATATTTCACCAAATGTTCTCAACCACTGATTCCGTTTGTTTCAGAGACATCAGTCAAGCAATCTACATCTCTTCATCGACTAGTGCCACGTCTTTATCTGGTCACTCTGAATTCTCTTACAATCGAATTCAACTTTTGTTAGCATCACACTTTAAGGTAGATGATGTATTGACATGGTTAACGCATGCCCAAGACACTTCAGTCAATGTTGGTTTGTCACCTCATTAATCAAATTACTTATGTTGCCTATTAATCTTCACCTGACTTCAACAGTGTCCACACGGTGTCAACACGAGTAATGCTCCGAAGATGTCTATAACAATGATAAAAATAGTAGCCCAATGAGAAACAATACTTGTGGTGCAGTGTGGGATTCTCATCATCATGTAATAGTTCAACACATTCATTCCCTGTTCAATATCTTAACACGAAATAACCGTCACATTTGAATAATGTTAATAATGACAGTATCAAAAGTAACAGTGTGAAACAGGCACCTGAAACTACATCAGTGTCTGGTTTGGATTGGTGACTAAATACAATATCAAGTGTAATTTTGGTAGTGGAAGTGTATTCAGCCAGTACCAAAATCTGCAGTTCGAGCATAATTATCTCTGTGCATCTATGACGCCACTCTTACCACCATATAGTTTATTCTTTGTTTGACTGTTAGCTTGAATAATGGCGGTTTGATATGTTTAAAAAGCAACATTTAAAAGATTGAAACAAATTGAAAGTGAAGAATTTAATGAAATAAATTCCGTAGGAAATTTTCCATAGCCCAAAGTTTAAACAGGCCGCCATATAAATTGAAACCAATTTATTCACATTTATTTTGATGAAATCTTCTTTTTGAAAGTATTAGTCCTTTCTAATCATGAAGACAATCCTATAGACCTTGGATAAAAGCTTTTTCTCCCCAATCCTTTGTCCTACGTTTCACAACTCTCTGTCATTCGTCTACTGTATGTATCCCATAGTTACATCCCCACTTTATAGATGAAGTTCTTTCTCAACTCGTGCACAACTCTAAAGTTCCTTCGCTTGTTGGTTTCATGAAAATAAGCACTTCCAAACTGTCTTCTTTATTTAGTAATTCCATGTTTATGGTTTCACGTCGTATTAATATACTGAGTGCTGCCCTACACTTCCCTTGTCTTTAACTCACTGCTCTATACATTCTGTTACTAACTGATCACAGACAAAATATTATGAATATGCATATATTATTTAGGGGTCTGCATCCTAGGCAATCTGCCAAAAGTGATCAAGGGATTGGACCTAGTATTTCAACAGGAAATTACGAGTATCAGTGAACAACAGCTGATACCTGTTGTAAATACAGTTGCACTCGTGCCTCAGTGGCCTGGTGGATCACACTCCGACGTTTGAATCAATGAGTATTGAGTTCACGATTTCACTCACTGTGGTGCAGGTACATCCAGCTGACAAGTCTCAAATAGAACGAAACGCACGTCTTGATTACACTGAAAACCACCAAATAAACTATAATATAACTGACAATAGTTTTTGATCCTTGACAGCTTTCTTCATCATGCGTAACGGAGATGATCAACTCGCCCGGAATATAGCAGTTTCCTCATGATAGAAACTAGATAATCTGTGATTTCACACTGGGATTTAGAGCATGGAAATGATAGTAAATAAGGAAGAGAGTCTACTGCTTTTAAACCCTGTATAGTTTCTTGAAAATAATTTTCTGGATACATGAAAGTATTTGGGACCGAATTAAACCGGTTTTACTAAATTGTATCATCAGTTATATATCTTAGACTATCATCCTGTTGAATATCGACTCAGCTTGTATTTCACCTTTGGAACTAATCAATGATAGAACTAAGCTAGCAGAATGAGATTCGGAGTATAATATGACGTCATAATGTTGTTCCACTCATACTCTTCATCTGCATACAGTCTAAAAGTACAATAGTTATTAGTAAGTAAGATATCTGAAACTGTAAAACAAAATCACTAATAATCCATATGTGTTAGAGAATTAGTTAAACGGAGGGGTAAGGAATGTAAGAAAGAAACAGTTAATGCAGTCCGACAGTAGATGAGTAAAATAAAGAATTATGTAACCAAATTATAATCACCATGAGAGTAAGAGACTAGCAACACTTTCCTCCAATATGTAGGGATCAGGGTGAAAGCGTTTAGTGGTAATTGGTTTCACAAAACGTGGGATAAACCAAGTCAGACGTGAGGACAGGTACTCAACAAAGACATTGGATGAAGGTTGCACTGTATTGTGAACTGACAGAAGTAGGAAATGTGGACCACTGGATTCCAACCCAGAGGCTCAATGGTAACATATTTGCCTGAAAACCTCAAAGTCCGGGTTCATGAATAGTGGTGTTTTGTGCGCTCACTATCCCTGGGGTCTCGTACTTCCACGGTACAGCTTTATAATGCTCCTGGGTCTTCAATAGCTCTGTAACTAATATCAGTCCCATACTAGGAGGGGACAACAAGCTTCCAAACTGGATTGTTTCATTTTCCTGTAATTTTCTGTATTGTCCGTTGGACATTTAATTCTTTACTTTCATCTAATGTATGCATACCAAAAGATGTTCGGTCTTTTTAAAACAAGATCACAGAGGATCAGTGATCATTGACATCTTATAACCGTTTGCATTGCTGCCAAGAGAATCAGTCAGAATCAAATGAGCAACTATTACTCTCCAATCAACAGGGATTACTAAATAGAATGTAATTCATTTTCAAAAGTATAATTCAGATTACTCCGTTAACACAATTATTTCTATCAATTCAGTAATATAAAGAGAAACAAATGTAGGAATGAAATGTTACATATGTGGCGTTATGTTTAAGCATAGTCAATAGTCGATTGAACAGAACAAATAAGTATCTCTTTGTTTAAATGTTTGCATAAAAAACAAACAAACAAAATTCAATTGAATATATACTAAGAAAAACTGAAAGATTTTGTTTATCTTCATACTTGATTTTTCTTTTAGTTCTTAGTATAGTCCGTAATATTTCGACATACTTTCGATGGGAGGCAGTGAGGATGCAATCAGTCTATAACGATTGAAAAAAGAATAGTAAAGAAGCGGAAAGGAATATGACATCGTATATTTTTAATTAACAAAAAAGCATGATTAGTTCGGTCGTTAAACTTACCTCAGTGAAGGTAGTAATAATAAAACTGTATGAAATAGTACCGTTTTTCTTCTCGCTGAAATTTTACTAGAGCATAACCCCTGTTGTCATATGATTGGTTGGTTGAAGTTCGACCTCAAAATGAGCATAACATCCTTTACGCGTTTAGATCACTCTGATGTGGTTATTTGACGAAATCTACAGACCATTTTGAGTAATTTCTGACCTCATAAACTGTTCAGTTGTAAATTTATATGAAGTTATAGAGTTTTCTCAAGTGGATACAGGTTGACTGTTGTTACATTGGCAGATTGTACAGACAGAGAATTAGGAAAACATTAATCAGACGGACAAACAGTCGGAATCGACCGTATATTTTAACAATTTAATGAGTACAATTCAAATGAGGAGTTATTTTAATTTGATGGTCAAGAGTATGACAAGGATTGTACAAACTTCTTGTTCATACAGAGATTTAGCATTCAAAGACGAATGGAGATGACTTCAGCTTCATGTCATGGACGGATGAGTAAACCACTAGGAAGATATCAGGAGATAAACGACAAATTACTTTAAAACCTTTCTTCTCTTGACTTCATGACCTATATTCACTTGGTGAGTAAAAATGAAACTACTTGTTATTTACTTCTGCCTTTTACTCAATATTGACAAGAGGTATTCAATAATTTGGTGATGAACTTACTTAATTGTTTGGCCTATACAAGAGCAGTTGAGATGATTAATCCACATGGTAAATGCAGAATGAGATAGTCTTTCTCAACTTTTTGGACTGGCTGAATATCTTGTGAAGGACTCTCCTCAGAAGCGGCATCACCATCTTGCCAATGATGTATCATTTGAGTTCAAGTTTAAGGAGGATAGTTTTCTTAAGAACTGTTTGTCTCATTTATGTGTTAAGTGACTGAGGTGGTCAAATATTCATTATATTCATGTCTCGGATATTGTTTAGCTCTCGCACATTGGTTTCATTAGTGAATGAGTTTTGCATGGTGATGCAAGTATTCTACCTGGTTTCGGTCACATGTGATAGACATAGAATTAACAAAAGGGGTATACTGACTTACTCATGCTGGGTGTCTGAAAGTATCTTAGAATAAACTTGAGTTGACTTAGTGACTGGTAATAATAATCCACCATAAAAAGGTAATCTCCGACAAAATGCTTATCAGTGTAAAAAGTATAGTCAACTGAAAGAGATTTATACTAAAAAAATTATATTTTTCGGATGAAACCCAAAGTAGGAATGTGATAAACCAATAAACTACGCTCATTTTTGTATTTTCTGTAAGAAGAATCAGTTAATGATAGGTGTAAATGGGAATTTTACTGAGAGGAAACAATAACCGGCTAACGCAGAAACAAATCTTAGTATACCCAAGGTGTCAAACACTTCAAATAAAACCATACGCCTTACCTTTAGACTTAATCTTCAAAAACTTTTCGATTTATTTCCTTAAACCTATGAAGCAATTAGATTAGAAGACAGTGTTCGTTTGAACAGAAATGGGGAATACTGATTACACTTTGCTGTAGTCCACAATTATGTCAGTGACCCCTGTAGTCGTCTGTAAATTGTGATTTCTAGTCAATATGAATACCTTTTAAGGCAGTATTCCTTCATTCCAACATTCATTGAAAATGTATTAAAAACCTGAGAACAATGGATGACTGTCTTACTCCGTAGTAAGGGACTCCTCAGAAGTACGCACCCACGACTCGCTCCACCTAGGATCGAAGCCAGGACCTCCATGTCTCACTGCCAACACTTTAACGAATCAGCCAGTGGACTGAAGTTTAATGGTCTACTCTACTTCCAACTGGTTGACCCTACAGATCACGGCTTTAGATAAAAACATTACTAAAACTGACCCACTGGTTCGAAGGGAACGTGTTTGTCATGAGACCTGAAGGTAATTAGATTCATGGTGACATTTTGAGTCTATACTTCTGGGGAGTATCATACTAGGGAAGAAAATCGGTGTCTATTGCTTTCAACTTTTTGATGACTTTTCAATCTATGTCTTTTCATATGAATACTACATTAAAAAACAGAATTTCTATAAATCACAAACTACAAGTATCATTTTGTCCACCAGTAAAGAACCATTCTCGTCTCCTACACTTATTAACTTCAAGTTATACAGTTTAAAAGAAAAGCGGAAATTTTATAAAATATTTGCTTTTATAATACAGCTCACAATGAAGATAGAGGAGGTGAGGATATACAACCAACGCCATCACCAACAAGCTGCAATCAACATCAACAGGAGAAACTCTAAGCAAGTAACCTCTTTCACCTATCTAGGAAGCACTGTTTCAACTAACAGGAGGCACAGGCACAGACGACGACGTCAAAGCAGCCAGGATCCAAAAGATAACAAGACTGGCCTTCATTTAACTGAAACCAGTGTCGAGATCTCCTGCACTGCACTCAGCATGAAGTGTGAGCAACATACGGATTCTCAACACCAAGTCAGTCAAGTCACTGCTGCTATCTATGGTTCACACACTTGACGCGTCACAAAAGGCATTTCCAACAAACTACAGACATTCATCAACAACTGCCACCTACGCTCACTCGCTACTGACACTGAAGCTCAGATGGCCAGAATAATGAGGATAAGGAAGGAGGAACTGTGGCTGACTGGCGATGAAGTAACTAGGAAGCTCTCGCTGAAGAAGTATGCACTGGAATGAAGTTGAAGTTGAGATGGATTGGTCGTCGAGTGAGAGGATGGACTGGGGACATGAGGCGTCAGGCGAGATGCTCGAGTGGAACCCAGATGGGAAACGACGAGTTTGGCGTTTGAGGTGATTGTGAGATGGAGGAGGTGGTGTGAGGAATAAATGAGAGGTTGTGGTCTGTTGTGGAGTGAGGTTGAAAAGATTGCAGAGAAGAGAGTGTAATGGAGACGTGTTAGTGAAGTGGTAAGTTCCATTAGTAACCGGAGGGACAAGTAATAAAATAATAATAATAATAATAATAATAATAATGAATCACGGTGAATATTGTATAACTTTACGGTGTATCACATAAAATGTTTATGGTGTGAAGAACAATGAAGTTCATGAATATTGTTTAGTGAAATTTTTCAAACTAGAATATAATTTTGTGGGTTTGTGAGCAAACCTGGTGACCTTGACGACAAATACTCAGCGATGAAATTGGGGGATGATTGCGCTGTGTTATGAAGTGACAGAAGTTGGGAATATAGACCACTGGATTCCGACCCAGTGGCTCACTTTAGTGTTCTAGCGACGGAACCTGAAGGTCGCAAATCCAATCTGTTGAGGAGCGGGGTCATAGGTACGCACTGCTGAAAATTCCCATACTAGGATAAGATATTTCTCCAGTGCTCCCAGGTTTATAATGTTCCTTTAATTAATGCAGGTCATGACGAATACCAACTTGAAAAATCAGAATATGATAGGTAGATTTTGGCATGCTTATTGTATGGACGGTGAGGTCGCAGTTGATATGCGAACGAATTCCCTGAAATAAGTACCACTGTTATTTAGATCACTAATAAACTGACTGAAATTCTGAAGGATACATTTCAGCATTATTCACGCAAAATTATTCTCCCGCTTAATTTCCTAATTTAATGAAGAACACGTATTTTAGCAAAGAGTCTCTTTCCAGCATTTTCATCCTCAGAGTTATAAAATCACAAAGTTACACTTTTCTTGCATTGGAATTCGATAGTTAAAAGTGATCTGTCAAACATGGTTACAAACTAGTGATTTACAGATCGTAAGATGAAATCGCCATGACATTCTCACTATGTCTATTACCAGCAGGCTGCTTTATAGCCAGTTTAGAGAACAGATCCTTGAAATCAACGACTGAAGGTTTTCATCTGTACAAAAGGTATATGGTAGATACTTTTTTATCTTTGATCATCAATATGATTTGAATCATGTTGTACAAATATTCAATAACTGCCACTCAACAGTTAGTGAATGGATCAAAAATCCACTGAGCTTCATGGACAAAGATATTGAGCTTAAACTTTGCCAAGAGAACCCCAACACTGTACTAAAATGATACTCTATAGGAATCTAAGTTTAAAGGTTATTCTGTAGCTGACACTCAAAAGAGGAGGATATCAAACTCTCTAAGGAGAATATTCTTTGCATCAATACTGATATTGGTATTCTCTTTTGTCATCTAATGATTTCTATAAACTTGAAGGACAGATTTCCGCATCTGATAACTTCTCTTTGTGTATATCAATTCACCTGTTTTCACGGAGCCAGGCATATAGGTCATTCGATTCGACTGTAATCCAGAAGAGTTCAGGAACACTATCACATGTGGTTACATAGAGGTAACATTGGTGCAATAAGAAGTGCCATGACTGAGTACATTGTGAACAAGGGTCACAATATCTTAAAAACCTCCCCACTAAAAGCCATCTTTAAAATGAAAGGAAATCTTCCAAAAGTTGCCTGTCTTAGTATTCTCTGCATTGCCGAAGCTCTTTCCATCCATATGGAGAGGTCCTGATGGTGTTCCTAGTACCATATTTAGAAAATGTGCAGATATTTTGTGTCATCCACTCACAGATATCTTCGATGTATCGTTCTCTAAAAACATAATACCCACTGCTTGGAAGCAGATAAAAATTGTACCTGTGTCCAAGCCATCTTCTGGATCAGATGTTACTTTTCGACCCATCGCTATAACTTCCCCTTTTCTGAAGACAATGGAGAAATTACTTCTGCTTGTGATTGAGCCTTCACTGGTGGCCATCAGAGATCCAAAACAGTTTGCTTACAAACACCGGAGGAGTACTTTAGATGCAGCTACTGTCTTGCATCATAATATTGTTTCTAGTCTCGACAAAGGTGTTAAGTATGTCTGTTGTGTCTTTTTGGTTACTCATCAGCCTTTGACTCTGTTCCTGGACCACTTTTGTTAAATAAGCTTGCCATAGCTCACACTGATCCATGGGTTACAAAATGGCTGCATTCCTATTTTTCTGAAAGGAAACAGTACACTATTCATAAAGGAATGCACTCCACTTCTTTGCTTACTGAAACTGGTGTGCCTCAAGGTGCTGTACTTTCTCCTTTTCTGTTTTCCTTTTTTTGCGCGATTTCCCTTATTCTGTTGAAACTAATTTTATCAAGTATGCTGACGACCTGGCGATTTCTATTCCAGTAAACTCTTCTCTGGATTGCTCGAAATTACATGAATTCTTATCTGAAGTTGGTAAATGGTCTCTCTCAAATGGTCTCAAACTAAACCCCTCTAAATGTCAGACTATTAATTTTAGCCTCAGACGTAAACAAGACTTATGTAAGCTGGTTAAATCTCATGACGCCTGCTGCATCAGTGGTATTTCTGCAGAAAGTAAATCGAGTGTGAACTATCAAACACTTACACAAGAGAAAAAATGCATAAACCTACGATTGTAGACCTTTGAGAATGAAGTCATTGAAAAGTGGACAGTTAGCGGACAGCATTTCATCATCCCATTACACAAAATAGTTGATTAGTGGAGAATATTAGTAGCTCAGGTGGATGGTCCTGGTTGCATTGTGTTCTCTGAGCTGGACTGTTTAATCGTCGAGTTTTCATCCTCTTTTTAGACGACACCATCAGCAATAATTTCAGTATGAAGTGAGTTGTCAATATCTCTCCGTCAGTGATTTAGTAGCCTACCTTGAGGAAGTGGTTTGTGATTGTTGTATAGATTTTCCTGTTGACTGTTCGTTTGCCTGACCTCTGACCTTTCCGTCGCTTATCATTTTTCTCATCGGTTGATAGATTGGGTCTATGTTTATACATCTATTGATTGCTAACTGACCCGAATATCAAGCTTCTAGGAATTCTCTCATGTCCTTTGCATTTTTGATAAACAACAGAAAGATCAGAGGTCAAGCAGATGAACAGCCAACAGGAAAATTTATGTAGCCAATAACACAATAATTAAAACAAACAACCAATCACAAACCACTTCCTCACAGCAAGCTAGTAAGTCACTCACAGAAAGGTACTGCCAGCTCACTTCATATTGAAGTTAGTGTTGATGATGTCATCTAGAAAGACGACGATTAAACAACCCGGCTCAGAGAACACAATACAACCAAGACAGTTGAATAACTTCATACAGTTTCCTAAGATGTGAGACAACATCATAACCAATAAGCATTATGAAATAACTAACCAGCGATTATTGAACTTTTCCTTGCTGATTCACATTTTGTCCATTCTGGCGAACAATAATGATCTTACTTTGCTTTCGAGTTGTTTCAGACGATAATGATCCCTGTGATTCTGTAGCTTCGGCATACGTTGGAGGATAAGGAGAATAAACAGGTTTATTCGCTGAACAAGGATTACAACATACACTGTCGGTTGATGAAAGCGATTTTGGGATTGCACTGACTGATACATGTAAACAATCATCAACTAATTCTCTGTCTTGTACATATTCTAGTGCTCTCAGTATATCATTTATATCTGCAATTATACAGTTGTGAAATCCATCTAAAATTATAAGATACTTTTTAAAAATGAATTAATAAATAAATTTTTAGATCGAGCAAAAACAACAGCTCTAGTAGAATGACATGACTTCATTTTATTTCATAGTTTCTCATCAGCTGCTTGGAATCTAAAACTATTCAGTACAGACTATCCAGAGAAGTAACTAGACTGAAAGTCTAGGAACGCTATGATTAAATACATTCTGCACTCCTTATCACTTTTTTGAATCTTTGGCCTTATACAAACTGCCACCCTCGTCAAAGAATCTCTAACATGTCGCATAGTCTCAAATCAAGTGTACTACAGAAATTATTTCGAAACTGACAATAGAAATTATTATATATAACAAAAAGTAATCAAAGACGTGAACATTTTATGTTGAATCCAGTTCATCAACTTTATTCGGAATGTCCAGTCGAAAAACAGTAAAACTCTTATCGAAACATTGTCGAAATTTGCTTCGAAAGATCAACTATATGATGGGATTCCTGCAAATCCAATATATGTAACCTATCCGGTTTAAGTGAAATTGAATAAGAAGCACTTTCATTTGGTTTCAAGTTTTACATCCCCAGAAAAGATGACAGAATCGATGCATAAACTCAATTCGAGAACTTATATTACCAACTATCAAAATCGAAACCCATGAATGATGAGAAAGAAGGTTGTTTTAAATCCAAACTGGTTGATATCGTTAACCAATGTATATTATTGTCGAGTCTACAATCCAAAGTTTTATCTGATAATCACAAAACAGCATTGAGAAATTTAATGAATAATTAAACAGTCGCAATACTTCAACCAGACAGGTTCTCGTATAGTCCTTATATGTACACAGAATAAAATCACTTCTTGGTGGGTCATGAGGATTTGTATCTGACAGTTCCAACAAAGATATTGGAGGAAGTAAGAAGACAGGTATGAAGGAAGGAATGTTCATTGACAACCAGTGGGACAGTAGTCCTTATCTATGGAACAGCCTGTACTAAAACCGTCATTTGTAAAATATCCTTCATTTCCTCTTCTACTTATTTCTTGATTTCCTCTCCGTACGCCTGCCTTGTCTCTTGCTTTTCTCTTGGTGGGATCCTTACCCATTGTTGGTAATTCCCAATGATTTCTACCACCCTCTCAATATATACTACTCATATCCATTCTTACCAGCAACGCCCAACACAATATAACTCGAGTTACAGAATAGCGGGTTACAAGGAAGTTGAGTGAACTCCTCAAAAAGGATTTGACTGATAACTTAGTCTATGATGAAATCAGGCCACCAGGATCTCACCTGCAGTATTTATATGGCTCGTCAAAGATTTTTATAAACCTAGTGTCTATGGTAAACTCATCATTCCACAAACTCGCTCACTGGCTTCCAGAGGGGTTGAAGCCAATTTGTGAAAAGTCTGCATTCCATGGCTTAAAAGATAACTTGAATTTGCCAAGAAACTGCAAGGTTTGGATATTTCTGATAAATTCAAGGCATCCTTTGATGTATCTTTGCTGTTTGCAAGGATACCTTTAAAAGAAACTGTAAAAATTATATGTCAGCATTCTGATGCTCTGTCTTTATCCAAAGAAAAATTCAGGCACCTTTCACTCATTTTTATTAAGAATGCACAGTTTAAATTCTATAGTAGGTATTCTGGTGATACACTCGTTGTTTGCAATAACACTGAAATTGCCTCGTATTGGCTTGGTCTACTCAACAAACCACAGCAAAACAGAATTTACAATGGAATATGAACAGAATGAACAATTCCACTTCCTTGATCTTAGAATTCAACGAACTATGGATGGTAAAACACTAAGACGTATCCATCATAAAGATTCTCAGAGTGGAATGTATTTTAACTTCAACAGCTTTTGCCCAGTTAGTCATAAGAAACAAATGGTGAAAACACTCTTCAGCTGCTTACGACATTTTTGTTCGGAGGAGTTACTGGAAGACGAAGTGAATATTGTTGAAAATTCCCTACGTAGTAACGAATAACCATATACATCCATCCATAAGCCCAATAATTTACCGATTAAAATCGTAAAGCGTGATACAGTCAAGAAGAAACCCGTTTTTCAAATACTTAGTTTTAAAGATGGTGATATTTCCGAAAGAATTAACTATAAATGCTACCTTAACAAGAACTTATCCAGCTTTTAGGTTCATTGGACTCTACTGAACGAATTCCTGACAGAGATAATCGAAGGTTGGAAAGTCCCCTCTTCAAGTTACCTCTAACTGCATATACCAATTCGCAAGTTCGTGCCAAAACACATACACTGTACAAACAGAAAGAAGGGTTAGAAACTATATATCTTAGAATATATTCCAATGAACTCGAAACTGAAAGGCTGAAAAGTCTTCAACAGCTCTATCGCTCGTCACCTTATTGATAGTTGACATGAAAACAGGTTTCAAAAAACATTCGAAACTATTATTAACCAGATAAATTCGAAGTTGCTGCGTTTCGCTGACGCGTTAGCCATTAAACGATCAAAAACAAGCTTATGTGTTCAGAAAGAAATAGTTATCAGTCTGTGCCTACCATAGCAAAGATTCTTGTGTTGTCAGAAATCAACAAGCCTTTCTTGATTTGTTATTTCACACTTCACGTCCTCCACCTAACTATCTAAATCCCACTCATACTAAATCTTAGTTAACATAAATCTAATGTCCTTTCTCATATATCACCTCAAATTTCTAAGTTCGTTATAGATGGACAGTGGCTAGCAATGGAATCCAGGAGGTAAGTTTCATCCTACTTAGGAATCGCCGGTTGGATAAAATTCCATCCAAATAAGTAGATGTTCTTCCAGGCAAGAGTATAACACATGAACAAATACTTCAAATGCCAGAGCGATATCAACCACGTCAATTAGACACTATTCCTACTCCGAACATCATTCAATGAAAGACATGTACATCCACCTGACAACATTAAAATACAAAAATATGAACCTCCTCCACTCCACTAATAGACACTCCTACAACATCAATGTCAAAGCCGAAAATTCTGGCTATATCCACGCATACGTACACACTACCATTTACCGATAGCACACAATCAATTAGATCCAATCGATGATACAGACACTCAAGCTAGTAAATAATGACGAAAATGCTCATCTTCCTTATTCACTCAAAATCTGAGGAATTAAAACTGAGCGTCACACCCAGAGATTGACATGCATTCTCACTCTTCCATCTTCAACATACAGCCGTTTACAAGAAACTCATTGAAACAGAAGTTATTCAGAGAGGAATGTCCCTCCCTCTACATCACTGACACTGAACTACTCGGTTGACAAATTGTTAAGGAATCACATCATCATGTCAATTGTCTGATGGGTTTCAGTAGTTAGAAGTTTTGTCGGTATATGATGTTATAGTGCCCATATTAGTGCTTACACACAGTCTAGTGTGAGTCACACAAAGAATACTTAAGAGAACATGCAGATTCGTTAAACACTGTAAGGTGTTCCCATTCAGTACAAATTATCGTAATTTAACAGATTCGCTCCTTACATACTACGAGGAGGAGTCCGATTGTCTCGAAAATACGAACAACATTTCAAAGTCACTGAACCAGCTTCACATCAATGACAGAATTCATCGCTTCTATGTACACAGCAAAAATGTTAATCTTGCTGTTCAGAAACAATTCTCAACTTCGAAACTTTCTGCATCTCGTATCACTGAACACTTCGATACTGAGGTTAGTGTTCAGGATGTCATCAAGCCTGTTGATGAAACTCCCATCATCAACTATCAAATGTCGAGGAACATCGAACAGTTATCATCCTCATCGTCAGGCATAAATATCTCCCATTATTGTTATTATCCATCAAATAACTTCATGTAGCATCAACGTTTGTCTGAATGAAACTACTCTAACATACACCTATCTCTCCCTTTAGAGAGAGAGAGAGAGAGGAAGGGATCACTCACTGTACACAGAGATGATTTTCCCCGTTCTATTCTCACATTATGAAGCTGTAAACAATCTTCGCCTTCCTCATCAATAATAATTCATACATGGGGGTGATCTGAGTGATTTAAGTATTCGATCGAGAGATGCAATAAAGTGAACGGCGAAAAGGATAGAGTAAATGTTTACACAACTGTTAAATACACAAAACTTACAAATAAACTTGATTATTTATTCAAGTATTCAATGACTACATATTCGATATAAATTGGTTTTCGTGTAATACATTTTCACTATTTAATCGTTAGTGTCATTACTATTCATACCCAAATTCATACGTTTACATATCATCATAGACTGATCTAACATTGGGATACCTTTTGTTACTTAACATCCTTGACCTATCTATCTGAATCACACTCATATTAGCTCTTAGTTAACAACACATGCACATTTTGTGTAACATTCCTAAACATGTTAAAGATGGATAAAGGCTAGCATGCAAGTCATGCGTCTTATCCTGCTTGGGACTCGTCAGCTGGATTTATCTGCCTCACTGTGAGTGGTGTTCTGCCAACTAGAACTCGAACCCGAGACCGGTCACTTCAAATAGCGGAGCGTTATCGATGAGACTATAGAGTTACAATAGCCACTTCTGATGTGACAGGATAATGCAAACACCAACATTAACACTATACTCGCCACACAAGAAGTGGCCATGGTGACTCGGTGGTCTGATGTTTCGAGTCAAAGTGAGAATATTATCTTTCACTGGGAGGCAGATACATCCAGCAGACGATTCGCAGATACAAATAAACTCGCGTCATGGATTCCACCGCTAGTCACTATCCATCATAAATTTATCATTCGGACAAAGCAAATATCAAGGCATCCGCACAGAGAATGGTCAGTTTGGTCCACTAAACGACTGAATAGTACAGGCAGAAATATCGACTCCAGTATGCAAACATTTTATATAAATTCATGTTAAATTGTTTCAGGTTTGTAAGCAGCTGATGAGAAACCACGAAATAACTTGATACGCTA